TTACCGTACTACTACGAATAACGTACTTAGTCTTCTTCTCTTTATTAGTGTTTGTTAGTACGTAGTTACGTTTCGTTTGTATCTCTCTACTCTCCTCTCTCTCTCTCTCTCTCTCTCTCTCTCTCACTATGTGACTGTATTTTCCTTTATTGGTAGAGCAACTAGACACAGCCAAAGCTCGGCTTCAGAAGATAAATTCAGAGTAAGACCAGTGGGTATCCTGTGTCACTTGAAATTGAGGTATATCCTCACATCCTGTTTAAGAAAATGCATAGAAAATCTCCTCCCTCTCTCTCTCTCTCACACACACACACACACACACACAATTGGTTTCAAGCACATTTTCGTTGGTAATATGATGCTTTCGGGACACTTGATCGGGAGTGAAATTCTTGGATGTATTGGTGATTGCTGTGAAATTTTGAAGGCCGGTGAGGATCATGGCCAGGGGTACCTCCAAGATTAACTTTGACTTTGAATTCCAACATCAAATGTGAGATCTTGTAATTGTGAACTTATACTGCAGAGACATGTAAGTAACATGAAATTTGGAACAAATCGCTCTTAAGATTCTATTTGATGGAATTTCTTCTAAATTTTGGTGAATTGCAATTTGATCCCATTGAAAAGGTTGCAGAATTCAATTTTTTCAGCCAAAATTTAGTGCAAGTTTCATAGGAATGTTCCTATATGAGAACATTCCCATATAATTTGAACCTTCTTTTTCTGCGAGGGCAGCTTAGTGTGGGATTCCCAGGTTCGAATCTCATGCTGACCTTTTTAAGTGTGAAAATATACTCCTGATATTGTTGGACGATTTTCTATGCTAGGTATAAGTAATTCACTGTAATCATCCCTAAGTTCTTAATGCCCAGTAAATTTTGTGAATTTTGGAGTTTATGAATTTCCATGATCATGAACCTTAAGAAATATGGATTTCATTTTGAGCTGTATTTTCTGACCGTTTTATTTAGTTCTTCGCTATTCATTAAATCAGCTCAATTTTGTGTATAAAGCTGAAATTGAGTGATTTACAAGGTGTTTCATGTAAGAGCAGTGATACCAAGCCTCCCTCTCTTTCGATTTATCAAGACTGAAAAGTGTTGTAAGAATCCATTCAAGTACAGGTACCGAGGCTGTGATTTTAGGTCATGTAGCCTGCATTGTACGAAACTACTAATCACTACGAGATGCTATTAAGGTGCGATGGTAAGAAGAATCGAGCACACTTCGTGCCTTTGTTAAGGAGACAAGCTGTTGTTTTCAGGTTCCCTTACCCTTTCTGTTTTTTGTATTCCTCTCTCTCTCTCTCTCTCTCTTAAAAGCTTTAATAAAGGCATAGTAGCATATCCAGTTTCCTCTTACTGTTACCTGGTTAGAAGTTTACAATACTTGGGCGTAAAATTGCTTTTCATTTGCATCAATCAAAATGTGAATTCAGGCATCGACCATTTTGGCGTCATCACATCAGGAAGCAGCCAAACAAATACTGCCCTCTCTAGATACCATTTCTCCTTTCCTTCCACATAAACCATTTTCTACTTGAGCCCGTACAGATGTCTGACCTCAATTATTGAGGTAGAGTATCAAGTTGTGCTAGCTAAATTATCAATGTTTTACTCGATGGCAAACACAATTGCCAAGCTTATTTGGGGATATTGGAGTTCTACATGACCCTTATTAAAAAGGGAAGTTTTATAAGACAGCTGTAAGACCAACCGTGTTTTATAAGATAGAATGTTGGCCGGTCAGTAAATGACTTACTATAAGATGAATGTAGTTGAGATGATGACATTGAGATGGATGAGTAACAAGACAACAAAGGACAATGTATCGATACTTTCACATTACATGTCAATGTTTTAGACACACGGTGTCCTTTTTTATATATATTGAAAGTGCATTTGCGGTACTTGAACCCATGACCATTTGAGATGCCGTTAAAATTAATAACCACCAAGCCCATATTTTAGATACACGGTGTCCTTTTTTATATATATATTGAAAGTGCATTTGTGGTACTTGAACCCATGACCATTTGAGATGCCGTTAAAATTAATAACCAGCAAGCCCATATGGTAAAATTGTAGTAAATACGCTTGTTTAAGTTAATATTCCACACATAACCTTATTGAAGACATTTCACTTGCGTCCCTAACTTGCTGTTATACTTTCAGCATGGGTTGTGTATTGGATTAAACATAAATTCACCTTTGTTCATAAAATATTTTGTGATTTGTGTAATTTATTTATTTTTGTTGATAGTTCATTGGAGAAGGAGTCTCCTACCTAGGGTAAGAAAGGAACTCATGGCATCACATTATGGCACCTTGCCACCCAAACCAACTAGCCTTGAGCCCATATCTAACATAGAAAGTTTATTTACCGTTGTATATAATGTCACATATTGTGATATTATCTATGGGCCTGTTTTGATGCACCCATCATCACCAATAATTTAGTATTATAATAAAAATACTCACAAGCGGTGTCCAAAAAGTCAATCGTGTCGATTTGGACTTGGGCTTGATAATCTCTTGATCTCTCATAATGGTAACTAAAGGTATTTTGTACAATACTCAAGCCAGTACTGTACAAATACGCTCCAGTATACCACACAAGCTGACTCACCCAAGTTTCATAGACCCAAGTTTTATAGTATTCACATGAAATCTTTTTTCTTTTTCTTTTTTTCTAGGTTTTTATTAGTTTTGAGAGTGTATAGAATGAGACCATTTCTCTTTGATACAAGGTGGTCATAGTAATCTTGACAATTAGATGTGACATTGGATGGGCGCAATTAATCCGTTGACTAAGTTCAAACTTCAAAAGAAATTTTCTCGAACCTTGTTATACTTCAAAACTATTAAATTTCACATCAAATGGTTGTAAGGAATTGTGACCAGTATCAAAAGTAAATGGTCTCATTGTATACAATCCCATTTGGTTTTCTAGAAGTGAGTCCAACTCCACTTGTCCTAATAGCTTGGCTCAAGCGCGTGCCAAGTACCTTGCCCTTGCCATGTTTTAGAGCACTAATTTCGGGACAACTAAGCACTCTTTGTATCACAATCGGCCAACTTTACCTTTTCTAGATTCAAGCAAAGGTTTGAAGTCTATATATATATATATATATATATATATATATATA